AAAGTGTAATTATTTTAATAAACATCTTAATGGCTAAAGAGAATTATGGAAGGTGATAGATTTTTCTGAACTTGTATAGAAATATGAAATATCTACTATTTAGAATATTTATCTTAATCCTTAATTCATGCTTTAAACAATGCTTAACACAGAGTGAGAAAATGATTAAGATGAACAAATGCAATGAAATAATATTTCCTGAGACCAGGTACTAGCTTTGCCATTTACTGTGTGGTCTTGGACAAGTTGCCTTGCTTTTTTTACACCGTTTGACTCATCCATCAAATGGAAAGAATATCATACTGACATCATAGTATTGTGAAGAACGAATGCAGGATTTATCACCGTGCTCAGCACGGAATAATTAGTCAATAAATACTTCGAGTCATACCAATCAGGCTAAAAAAGTCATCTTGTGAGGTCATCTTCTCAATCATGATATTTTGGAGAAAAAAATGTTCCATCATTAGAAGTTATGATTATTACAATATATAAACGGCAGTTAGGTACAAACTTAAAATGTTAACACCATTTCTGCTTATCATTATGATAAATTTGTATTAGGAAAAAAGACGAAATTTCAAAATCAATACCACTTCGTCATGCAGATAGCACAAAAAGTACATTTTTGTTAACTTCATTTATTTTGTTTCATAACTGCTTTTGCTTTATTTATTTATTTGAAAGGCAGAGTTACAGAGAGAGAGGGAGAGACAGATAAAGGGAGATCTTCCATTGTCTGGTTCATTTCCCAAATGACAACAGCCAGGGCTGAGCCAGGCAGGAGCCAGGAGCTAGGAGTGTCATCCTGGACTCCCATGTACGTGCAAGGGCCTAAGCACATGGATTACCCTCTGTTGCCCTCCGAGGTGCATTAGCGGGAATTGGACTGGAAATGGAGCAGCCAGGACTTGAACCGATGCTAATATGTGATGCCAGCATCGCAGGTGATAGCTTAACTTGCTCTGCCACAACACAGGTCCCTTTCATAATATTCAGGGGCTTTAACCAAAAGCCAATTTCATGGTAAATATCAATAAATAGATCAAGCTGTGGTTGTCTCTGAAAAATATGTGTTGGTTGCTATGAAAATGAAAGCTTAGAAACAATCCCTTAAGACGTCCAGGTTTTAAAGTTAGTAAAGATCTGATACCTTACATATATTTCATGCAGTTTAACATAAGTCAGGAATATTTTAAAACTTCAGTAGTGACCTATCCAAAAATGACTCACTTAAATACCACTGATTAAAATGAAAAACACTGGGGGGAGTTCTAGGGTGAAAGTTTAAAGAAAGTTAACAAGGGTATACTACCATAAACTGGATGGCTCACTGTTTAACAAAGCAAAGCAAGTGGATATGTACTGAAGGCTGTTTCAAGACATTATTTTCACGTGTGACTGACCAGTGTTTTGTTTTGTCTGTTTCTGTGCTGTGACAGTTTAATGTTTGTTTTCTGTCTATCATGATTTTGTCCTCCTCCCAAATGATAAACTCTGTATTCTGGTAATAGTATCAGTTACAAAAAATTAACCAAGCTAACTTTTATTGGCTTGTTTTCTTGGACAACAAACATGATGAGATGAGGTGCACCCCTGACCCCCTGGGGCCGTCACCTCATGTCATATGACTGCAGTGATTAGAATCCAAGGAAAGGCTGGTTGCCAAGGCATTGTTTAAAACCCAAATGAAGAAATAGCTCCTGACTACTATAATAGGATAGTGGGTTATCTCACTTGATTAGAATCCCGGATAACATTCCGTGTTTAATTTGTTTTAAAAGTTTAGTTAAAGTAATTTTGTAATGATTTAAAATTAGAAACTTTTTGATAAGTTTGAATAGGACTATCTATTTTATTCTCCCTAAACGTTTCATTTTTACCAAAGCTCCTTTTAAACAAAAGTAAATGAGTTATTCTATATTCAAATAAAACTTTTTTTTTAAGACATCTGGGTTTGAGGTTTGTAAGGAGGGAAAGAAAAAAATCACAAATAACATCTCAACTCCAAAAGTCATCTAAACTGAGAAGGAAAGTACCTACAAGAAATAAATACCAGGAGGTAAAAAGAGAAAAATGCTAATTTAACAGAGCAAATGTTGAGCCCGATGCTACATCTGATGGATCCTCTCTCCTAGGAAGTCCTGGTCACTTTCATGAACCCAAGCTTCCCCCTTCCTAAAGTTCCAGTCTAGAACTCTCGCAGCTGAGTTCTTCACAGGATTTGGCTTGAGAAAATGTTACCCTGTCAAAGAACCACCATGTTTTCTTTTGTATTTGTTGAAAGTGATAGATCTTCTTTCCAATCAATAAGCTCTACTTGAAATGTCAAGTTTTGTCATTTTTCTAATTTGACCTTTTGCTCCTCTATAAAAATTTGTTTATTTTATAGCCCACAAGAAGACATAACTTTATTTCCACAAGTTCTTCATTCACAAACTTAGCTGTATTAGCTGGAAACAAGAATAAGGTGAATGATTGGCCATGCCTACCCAGGCTAAATCAATTTGGAGACAGAATCATTCAAACTAAAGGAAAAAAATGTCAAAATTCATCTTAGATACCTCTTAACCAATCTATGTATCCTCTATAGTCAAAACTGGCTTTTTAGAATATCTGGTAGCTGGACCATAGGTTTTAAAGAACTCACAAAATCAGGGTAACACGAGAGAAGCTGCCTAGTCTTTTACCCCATCATTGGACAGAAAATGCTGATATTGTTTTCAAACGTTTCATAGAAAGTTTGCCAGTCTAACTAGAATAAAAAGTAGCACAGTAATGTCAACAGGATTGTTAAATCATTAGCAAATTCCTTTGGTGAACTTCGTGACACAAACTATAAGGGAAGCTTGTTAAGAATTCCTTGTCATGAGAAGCATATGTATACTTGTATGCCTTCAACTCGAGCTTATTAAGATCTACCATTGTATGTTTTCAAACACTGCATGCTACACAAACCTCTCAAGGCCAAAGCTGAGACCAGATGTGCTATTTTATCTGGGGTGTACTCTCTCTCTGGCCTCTTGCTAACTATCATTGCCCTAAGTAGAGCACACAGGTAAGCATGCAGTATCAAATAATTGTTGACTAAAAGGCTATATGCTTTCCTTCATCCATAATAGAGGTTATCATGAAGTGCAGGTATTTCAAGAATTAAAAATGTACATCAAATTAAAATAAAAGGAGAGCAAGGGAAGAAAGTAAAACAAATTATATTTCCTCTCATTGAATTTGTCTGGTACCAAATGTGAAAAAATAAACTGGAACACAAACTTTTCTAACCATGTAAGTGAGAGACACTTTCAAGTTCACAGAAGTGACTACAGGAGATTCCCAAAGACAACCCCTCTCTCTAATTCACCACCTCACCAAATACTCTACTTAAAATCACTTAGAAAAGCATTGTGGTGATATATTGCTCCAAACAGTTACAAATCAGAAAATGCATTTTATCATCAGATGGGCCTTCATTTTCCCAGCCTTATCATTAAAAAATGCTTTTGTAGTTTAATGCATTTTTTCCAGAGAGCAAGGAGTAGGTTAGATCAGCAAGTGACTTTATCCACTGACATACAGACTGACTGATGGAAACTTCCAACAGCCCTAAGACTTTAAGCCTTGGTACAAGGGCTTACATCACAGCCTTCACAGAGAGGAAAGCCATTTAATCCTAAAAAGTTGCTAAACTTCCTACAACACAAACCAGAGATTTTATGTATTCTATTAATTCCAAAAAAAAAAAAACAGGTAAAATAATACTTCTATAGCTCTACATATTCACCTTTCTTTCCCCCCCTCATAACTGTGTATTGGGAAAGACATGTGCTCAAGAATGGTGGCAAGTGACATCCCAGCTTCCCTCTGTATTGCGTGTCATTCTTCTTATTAAGTGCTGCTGCTCACTCGGGTCCCTGACAGTAATTGCCACTACTTCGTTCTCAAATGGCACGCATGTTTTTTGAAAGATTGAAAGAGAAAGAGAAAATGCCAAAGACCACTGTGTTTATCCTCTTACAAGAAAATTCAAAGGTTTTATAATTTAGATAAAAAAGACCAGAGTTCACATTTGTCCATATGCTCTCTCCTAAATTATTGAAAGTTTTTTTCCATTTGTCTGCATTTGTAAATTCTCAACTCTACTGTATATTTTCTATGCTTTTGTACTGAATGAGAAAAAACTCCCCAAAGATTGCATACCAAAGAGCAGAGCCTCCTGTTCTCTGAGATTGATGTATGTTTATGAGGAAATCCAGCACGCAGTTTCTGAAACCTGCAGGTTCACTGTAAGTTAAACCATGTGGCCTCTGCTCAAATCCTTCCTCCCTTCCAAAATCACTCACCAGGGCTCCCAAGTGTGCTTTTCCCTTGAAGCTTTCTGCTTCCATGTGCTCTGCCAGGCCCAGCTCTCTGGGGCCCACTGGGGCTGGTTCCTTCAAAGGCATCTTGGTGACACCTCTCACAGCAGAGGCCTCGCTGCAAGCCCCTGCCAAACACAGGGCCTTATTTGTTTGTCCCTTCCTCCTTCTTATTTTGGGTTAAGAAACTCATAAATAGAAAATGTAGCCATCCTCGGGAAACAGCGTGGAAATGTGCATCTAAATCAGTTGAAGTTCTTGATGAAAATGGACTTTCCTGGCTTCTTTCTAGGACATGGATGGCATATGTAAGGGAGCTAGCTGCCTTTTCAATATTAGACCTTCTTACGGAGCACTAATATTACTTTTACGACATTATAAAAGTGAGAAAAAACGCTTTTAAAAGCATGTGGTACTTTCCATAACAAGACGAGTATTCTGCAAGTGGATGAACGAATTGAACAAGAACACCCAGCCTCCAGCAGATGTTAAATGTTTAAGAACTCTATAATAAACTATCAGTAAAAGTTTTTAAAATAAAGGAAAAAAGAAATTTCCTAGAAAATGTAGCTTTTGTTCTCCTAATTTTAAAGTGGAATTACGTAGCTAGCATTCGGCATGATGTCAATGTGCAGGTCACAATCAGCTGAGGATGGCATCGGATCATGCTTCTCAGACAAATACAAGAAAAGCATGCGCTGTTCACTTTTAAATCTTTCTGTGGGGTCCTTTTCACTCTACCTGGGCCTCATTTATCTCGGGACTTGTACAGGATCCTGCTGGAAGACGTCGGAGTTGTTAAGTGACAACTGAAAGCCGGTTTAGGATTAGCCAAATTTAACCAGGTGAGCAGAGATTGCACTCTGATCCGGAAAGCAAGCCGCAGCCCTGCAGGAAGTCAGGGCCTGGGTCGGGGTGGGCTGGGGCTGGGCTGGTGGTCCCTGCATGAGTCCAGAGAGCGGCGGATTCCCAACGGAGCGGGTGGATCCGCTGAGGCTGCAGCAACCCTGCGCAGCAGCCCACACTGCATGGAACCCGCACTGCCCCGCAACGTAAATACTGGCCGAGACTGCTCTGAGTATTAATTAGCGCTTTCTAGGGGAACTTGCCTAGAGGTGAGCTGTGCTTGGGACATGCTATCCCCTTCATTTGCTTTTCTGTCAGATCAGAAGAGAGGCAGATGTGAAACAACCTGCGGAAATCAGTGGCCGGGAAAGGCAAAAAGAAGTCTGAAACGTGGTCATGAGTAGGACAAGTGGCTGTTTGCTACAGGAGGAAGGCTCGGGAAGCCAGGCTTCCAGTCGTCCAGGATGGCTCAAGGATCAGTCCTGGGAGCTTGTGAGATGGGCCTTGTCGTAGACCTGCAGGGTCCCCATCTGCCTTGTGACTGGGTCCACGAGTGCTTCCCGTGCACACTCAAGTGTGAGACGCTGTAGGAAAGTGAGCAGGCAAAGGACCCTGCGCTCCGGAAGACATTTTGGATCCTATTTTCTAGAAGCAGGAAGATCAAGGAAGAGTGCAAGCAGAAATTAGAAAAAGTCATGATATTGCATAATAAAATTCAGATCTGTGAACACACGTGTGTATATATGACTATAAAAACAAAAACATAATGTGTATATAAACCATTAAAAACAATTAGAATCCTTCTGAGAAGCTCACTTGACAGCCGTATGGGATAAAGGATTTAAGAAGTATTTAAATGTGTCATACTTTATCCTGTGTTTTCTTTTATACTAATTCCCACAGAATATCAGGGCCCCTGCTCCCACTTTCCAGGGAGCTAAATGTTCCCGGAGAGTAATTCTCAGCCAACATTTTATCAAATGGCAAGTTCAGCAGAGACTCACTCTCCGATGATGAGGTCACGAAACACAAGTCAACCCAGTCACCACCTGACGGAACCTTGCACAGAATTGGGATAGCACCATGAGAAGTATGAAGCAAGATGGAAGGATGGAAGAGCTTTCAGCACACAGGCACACAGAGACTGACAGCAAAGGAGGTTGGGGAAACACCCATGCCTTAAATTCTGCTCTTCCGCATGCAGGAACGTGACAACTTTGTTAACAGGGGATGTTTGCACTGCCAAAGAACACTGGGTAAGTGAGAGGCCGTGGCTGGGGCATGTAATCAGCCCCATTTACCCGGAAGTTCACTGGTGGAGAGTTGACATCCTACCAAGACAAGAATTTGTCAATGAATTAAAGTGATGACTTATTGTTACAGCAATGTATATGCACCATAAACTCAAGAGCATGCTAAATGTCTTATCTGTAACTTCTTTTCCTCTATGCCTTTGTCCCTCATAGTTGGGATTCAGTGTGTGGTGAGTACAGCAGTGTTCAGGGTTGCCTGATGAATGAATACATGTTGGGTGTGTAATTGTGAATGGGGTTGAAGACCACTACTGTGCTAATCATACCTCATTCAGACACTGAGCATAACAGTTTTCCTGTTTCAGCCAATCTGCCATCTTTATTCCTTCAACCTGCCTGACTCATGACAGAGGCTGGTAGCCTCTGTGGACAATGATACTGGCTAGTCTAACTGAAAGTCCATATCCAGTAACAACCATCTCTAAGTCTGCTTTTAGAGCTCTATACACCTCCTTGTAGCAGTTGTTCCTGGAGATATGTCCTGAAGGTATCTATAACAGGCAGTTTAGATGGCCCCTTAGGAAGCTAGATCATCAGAACAATCCACCTATCAAATTTTGTTGTAAGTATTACAGGGATAATATTAATGTCTACTTTATAAGATTGTCATGAGGATTCAGTGACATACGGGGGTGACTGTGTGTTGCACATTTGCAGGTATAGGGCCTGGCACATTTACTTGCTGTGCTATGTAAGTACTAGTCATAATTATTATCAAATGTCAGTTCTCCAAGTCTGACTAATGCAACGTGTTGGAAAGAGAGCTCTGATGTCTTACTTACAGAATGAGAGAGAACACAACCTCCACAGAGCTCTGACAATGTCTTGAAGAAAATTGAAAGTTTAGTTTATGGTGGGTCTTTCAGTTAGGGAGCTGGAAGAGAGCTGGGTAAAGATTGGGATATAGTTGTCTAGCTCTGTCTTTTGATGCTTTTGCTCAAAGATTTGACAAGTCTTTAGAGATGTTTCTGTAATGAACAACCAAGTCATTTGCCTGGAAAGAGTCTCATGAATTAATAATCCTTGTGATGGAGACAGCAAATTTAGGGGAAGAGGTAGGGAGTTTCAGTCCTCAGCATGAAACCACTTTCACTGTTATTTGTTCTTACTATTACTATGTTTCTCTGAATAGGTTCAAGTGAGCTTAGCACAACATTAGTAGGATCTCTGGAGTCATCTATGTTTCTCATAGCTACCAGGGAGACCTCCAGATTTTGAGAAGATCAGAAAAAATTAAGAAAGTTCCTGGGAAGTCAGTTGTGAGCAAGGTAGCATGTGAGTATAAATGAGCAAGGAACATTGGGAGGAAGTAGAAAGACAGAGTAGTGATATGATGTCAGAAACAAACAGGCTATAATGCAAGCTTCTTTCCTCTGTTGTCAGCCTGCTCTTTTCCAACATATAATCATTTATGTTGGATTTGATTCTACATGGTAACAAGTATCGCACACTGTATTTCTTTTGTTTTATTTTTAGTAGTCACTAAGGTATTGGATAGATCCTTTGAGAAAAGCAGTGGACACAGCTTTATTAGAAAAAGGAGTGACATCTGTAGATCGAGAAGTATAGATATAATACAGGAGGCAATGTGGCTATGAGTAAAGCATAAGGAGTTTGGTCCTAGTTGAATTTGCCTTCAAATCCTTCTTCTACCAGATGCCATCTGTGTGGCCTTCCACCTATTAAATAACTATCTCAGGGGCCCGTGCTCTGGTACAGTGGGTTAAAGCCCTGGCCTGAAGTGCTGGCATCCCATATGGGCACTGGTTCGAGTCCTGGATGTTCCTCTTCCCATCCAGCTCTCTGCTGTAGCCTGGGAAAGCAGTAGAAGATGGATGGCCCAAGTTCTTGGGCCCGTGCACCCTCGTGGAAGACCCAGAAGAAGCTCCTGGCTCCTAACTTCAGATGGGCTCAGCTTCAGCCATAGCGGCCATCTGGGGAGTAAACCAGTGAGCGGAAGATCCTCTCTCTCTCTCTGTCTCTATCTCTTTCTGTAACTCTCTTTTTCAAATAAATAAAAATAAATATATAAAAGTAAATAAATAACTACCCCAAAGACACTCTCCTTCTGTATAAGCTAAGAATACAATCCCTAATTGCAGGGAGGCTTTAAGAAAGATAATTACTAGCAAATACTAATTCTCAATAAGTTATGCCTATAGTAAAAATTCAGATATGCTTTGAATTTTATAGGTTATATTTATAGCCTATAGGTTATATAGGAACTGTTGTTCATGGTACATGAACCCATATATGGTAGTGGTTTATATACTGTATAAATACAAATCAGTCATTGAAATATTTGTCATTTCTATTATAAAGAGATCTAAAATCTTAATTATTATGCATTCACCCAACACAGAATTCAGTTCTATCTGTCCACCATAATTGAATAATTATTGTACCTAAAATTTTACCTATGTAAAAAATTACCTATAGGTAAAATTACCTATAATTATGTAAGAATCCTATTCTTACACATGGCTTTCAATTTTAACATCAATCATTGTCATTCATTTCCTTAGAAATTTGTTCTTTAACTTTTCCATTTTAATAACATTATAAATTCTAGTCTACTGAAAAAAAAAAACCAAGCTTTTTTAAATCACCATTTCAGAGACTTTTGAAAAAAAATAGGCTTATAATCAATTTATTATAACAAATGAATACCAAATCCACATTCTTGGCTAGAGGAATCAATGGAGAGAATAGATTTCAAAGGATCTAATAATAAAGTAATTAAAGGCCAGATTGTGATTATAATTTCAAATTTTACTTTGTTTTTCTTTTTGGACATCTTTACTTTAGTGAACAACATAACTTTTTTTCCATATCATTTTTACTTAAGATGTTCTTCTCCAAGAGGTTTATAATGAAAAGAGATGAAATTGACATCATAAAAAATGGTATTTTTGAACAGAATAATACATTCCTTTTTCAATTCCGCACTGAAACTGAATAGCAATAGTGTCTCTTCTTCCTTCTCATGAGAGGTGCCCAGAGAGCCCTTGCATCCAGGTACCTTCAGATATAGTGTCAGAGAGCCCCCATTTCTGTCACTCCCTGATGATGAATGAGGTTCTTTTTCTAAACAAATAAGCACTTCACAGGGTTACCCTTGACAGGGTTGTTAATCCAGACAGCCTCCCTTATCACTACAGAACTCAAGGGCTGAAGTTGTACAGCACCCCTGCACTGCCTGGCTCTCTGCAGGCCGGGGCACACTGCCCCTCTTCTTAAAGTATAAATAGCCAAGCTCCACCATTCTCTTCCATGTTCCATCTGTCTCCAGATGTGATCTTCAGCTAACTGGGTTTTTCTGTTAAAAAATTCAAATTACGTATATGATAGATGCAACCACTGGTTAATATGCTGTATTAATTTCATTTTCATTTTCTTTTGCAAAAAAAGCAAATTACAAACATAAATTCTCATTCATGCAAAGAATATTAAAGACAGAGTAGTTAAAAGACTTGGTTCTGATCATCCAAGAGCTAAGCTAGAAGCACCAGCTCTGGATTTTAGAACATGAAATGAAGAGACATTTTCCACCTCTTTTATCAGCTATGTATAATTTTTTAAAAGATTTATTTATTTATTTGAAAGTTAGAGGTACACACACACACACACACACACACACAGAAGAGAGAGAGAAAGAGGTCTTCTATCTGCTGGTTCAATCCCCAATTGGCTGCAATGGCCAGAGCCGCGCTGATCCAAAGCCAGGAGCCAGGAGTTTCTTCTGGGTCTCCCATGCAAGTGCAGGGGCCCAAGGACTTGGGCCATCTTCTACTGCTTTCCCAGGCCACAGCAGAGAGCTGGATAGGAAGTGGAGCAGCCATATGGGATAGCAGCACTTCAGGCAGTGGCCTTACCTGCAGGCGCCTATGTATAAATTTCTTACCTAAACTCTCTGGCTCTTGACTGTGCTTCCATTGACTTCTAGACTAAAGGTCAGCATTTCTTTTACATTCCAGAAGCTATTAAATATCAGTTTCAGCTTATACCCCTGTTAAGAATTGATGAGTTGATCCTAATTCAATGAGGCTCGACAAATCTCTCAGTAGCATCTCTCAAAATATTGTGTCCAGATGATGGTTAAGAAAGAAGGAATTATTTAACCAGCATGTACCCTCTTGATATTTTAAGTAGTAACATATATTTTTTTTCCAGTAAAAGTGAAGTTCAAAATCAGTTTTGCCTATGTAAATAACTAGCAGGCACTTCAGACCCCCTCCCAAGAACCACCTCTATTCTTCCATTCCCACTGTGGCACCGCAAGAGATATGTAGAAACAAAGAATGCATTTTTTTTTTTATCCCAGGTTTAGGAAAGGCATGTGACAGAGCCTGTTTGGAAAGCAGAGCATAATGTGTTTTCAGTTTATAAATTATAAAATATTCAAAAGCACAGGCTAACACCAAGGAACTGGTTACAGCTAAGTATCTGGAATTGTTTTTTCCTTCTTTCTCTTATCTCTTTGCTTTCTCTTTTTTTCTGCCCAAGAATGGAAAAATGCAAATCAAATGCAAACGAGATGCCTCAGGCCTAAGGAGGTAAGAAGGAAAACAATTATGCAGAAAAGGGAAAGAACTGGGAGGAGGAGGGGGAGTTTCCTTGGAATAATTACCAAACAAATTGTTTAATCATAGCATTTTTTTGATTGATTAATTACTAGGATGTTATTCTCTGATTTGCATGTACTTACATGTTAATTTTTCAACCCGACAGTTAAGTTAAACAGACATACTATTTCATATTTTTTTCTATTACTTGTGCAAAGATCCTAAAAACTATGATTTATAAATATTGCTTCTGAAAGCAGGAAGTGTGCTATATTGTTTCAATGCAGAATTACTGCCTAATAGATATTACACAAAAGTAGGGTGAACTCTCAACAGCATCCTATTAGATTATGTCATTACACTTGTTAGGAAGGAAGAGCTGGAATTTGCTCTGTCATAGTGAAAATGCTGAGCTTCTAATACTCAGAATCTGTGTGGGTAGCAATGTAAGCCTTAAATTAAGACCTGCAGGCCTTTCTGAAGAGATGATATAAATGAAAGATTAAGTGGGTCAAATGAAGATCTCTTGCAAAGATTCCAGAGTAGAAAGAGAGCCCAGCGTTCGCAGGTTTTGTAAATCAGTTCACATGTACATCAGAGCTAATTGAAAAGGTTCAAATCTTAGGAAGAATCACCTCGGCTGTAAAGCTCACAGCTAGGGCTTTTGGAGTCACATAAAACCCCCTCATTCAATTCTATGGCTGATTTTGAAAATTATTTGTATTTCTTGTAAACTAATAAAAGGGAAAACATTTTGCAGAAACAACACAGTAAAACATTAAATACAGAGAGTTAAGTATGAGCGCCAACCTCTCCCAACCCCTACTCCCTCAGCCCTTTATTTTGTGGCAATGTCATACTTTGCTTAGATCTCCTTCAATCATTGTGGCAAAGAAAAATGTTTCCTTCAAGTTGGAAGACTATAGAAGCATATGGTCATGATACTGGCATGTACCCCCAAAAATCTGTTAAACATCTTTTTGACTTAACTTGGACTCAATTCAAAACATCATCATTGTTTTAGCTATCATTACATTCCTTTAAATATTTACAGAAATTTCAGTGAATAAATGAAAGTAAATTATCTTACTTCAATCGTGAATAGAAACTATAATATAGTAATTCTATTAAAATGAGAAATAATTTAATTAGTAGCTAGATTTTAATCAGTCCACCTTGTATCAAGATGGAGAGAGTACCCCTGAAAGCTGCACAGCTCAGTGTCCCTAATCTAACTATATGATTGGAGACTTTACAGGGATTAAGTAGATGAGGGACAATTCAAAAGCAAAGTAAGGATTTAGAGGATTTAGCCAGTTTCAAATGCCTTAACCCCAAGATCATAACAATCAGTTGACAATCACTAAAAATAAATGAATTAAATAAAAAATTTTTAAAAATGAAGAGAGGAAAGTGTTTACTTTTAGACATACATGATTTTATAAACTGAACCAGAGAAAATGAAAATTGAAGGAATGAGTCTTACAAGTAATGGAGATTTCAAAAGAATGCTTAAAACAAATCAGTGTGATTTTAGAGGAAGCTACAAGTTGATAGCCTACAAGTTTTGTTACGGAAATAAAAGGATTATTGTATAAGATATTTCTCTTTGTTCTGAAATATCTTTCTATAGTTTTAGCTCTTTTCTGTTAGACAGATTAAGTCGTATGAAGAAATCCTACTTGTTTCTTAAAAGAATTGCTGTGTCTTAAGTGAATTTACCTTCAGTTCCTTATCTCTGAGTAAATAAATGATTGGATAGTTACATTGCCGCCCATGACATTTTCCTGAAAAATTAACCAAAGGCGGCCATGGGCATGAGGCCTTCGGATAGAGCCTTCCAGGCCTTTCAAACAGAGCTGTGTGCTTCTCAGTAGGCAGGCAGATGCACATCTCAGTTGCTCTTTATTTTTATGTATCTATTGACTAGAACATTCTGCTAAGGAACAAACAGGACAACATCCATGGGAGAGCTGTCGCGTGTGTTGTAACTGCCCCACAGAGAGATTGCGTCCCTTGTTTTCCTCTGTTATCTCACTAGACAAATCTACCCTAGCCTTTAATTGCAGGCTTGACTGTGCAATAATTAACAGTTGAATTGGGGGTAGGGTCTTTTCTTGGAAAAAAAAAAATCTGTGTAATTGATCAGAAGTTTTCAACATATATTTCAATTTAAGCATGGGATTGATTTGTAAAATAGAAATCACTTGGCAACTGTCATTTAATAACCCACTTGGACGATGCCAGAAAGCATTTAGATTGATTGAATGCTAACTTTAAGATGAATACATGAGGTTGACTTAATTGGTATCAGAATCATGGCTAGCATTTATCACTAGATATGATCTGTATAGCTGGATCACACATTATCTTCATTTTGAAAGATCAATTGAAGTGAAAGAGATTCTCGTTTGTGTAGGTGCCTCCTAAATAAACATTAACTCTGGCATCTGAGACACTAGGATGAGGGAAAGCACGCTGCACAGCTGGTAGTGTACCTGAGGAGGGGACCGATACTGGGGAACTCAGATTAGAAAACACCCTTTACAAATGAAGTCAAATATGAGATAATTCACTGGGCATTCAGCAGTTACACTCACATTTCATGAGATTCTATTATAGGATGAAGTAAAGGAGATGATTCCAACAACAATGTTCTCCAGAATACAATTAGGAACTTACTTGATCATGTAGCACTCCCAGAATTGGTTTAAATGTTTACAAGCTGGAAACCAGCTCAACGTTAGAAAATAATTTAGTAAGGCTGAAGTAAAAAACAATAATGTTCTTCATGAATCCTTTTTAATGGTATGACAATATTGCAGAATGTTACACATGAAGATTTGATATGGTGGAGATTTATTTTCACAAGGCAGTGCTATGAAGTTATCTCTCTTCTTACATATGAAAATTTTATACTTGATTTTGTGTGCTTTCCTATGACAGTATAAAATTGTATTTTAAAATTGTGTGTTTAAAATGTAATTTTGATCACTAAAGTATCTCTAGATATATAGGTACGTGTGTGCATATTCATTGAACGAGGCTATGGGTCATAATATTTGGTTCTACATAGGGAAACAATCTAAGAGTAAATGTTTTCTTCATGCGATCTGAAACATGAGTCATGATGTGAAACTGATCTCAATTTTTCATCAAATATGGCATTGCTAAAATAAATTCCCTGGACCCAGGGCAATTAAAGGGGCTCAGATGATGGGTATGACCAGAGCCTAAGAGAGTTCTCCTTGATGACCATGATGATCATTTGAACACTGTTTCTTTTAAGGACCATTTTGTCTCGGCAATCAGGAGCAAAATCACATTGTACCAGAAGTACAAGAAATACAGCTCCACATTTGATTCAGTATGCCCAGGGCAGACTATCTAGATCTTTTGTGGGGAGCTAGGGCAAATGGAAATTTCAGGGCCACAATGGAACACCTAAAACAAGTGCTACGCCCTCTATCTCTGCACTGGTGTGAGGCTCTGTGATTGCACTGGTCACACCACACACCTGTGAAGCCAGCCTGGGTGTGCTACAACTCGTAAGTAAGGGACAGCTTAATCTGCTACATGCCAACTTCTACATGCCTCATATGGTTCTCCATCAAGTAGTCGCAAAGCACAAATTCACATCTGCATTGATTGGATATCCATCCAGAGACCTTTTACCTGGCCTCTGTTTGTGTGGCTTCATATCTTTATGACATGGAATGAACAGCTTGGCGCCACATTGCTGTTATCCATTAACCATTGCTGTTTTCCTAATCATCTTTGACTCCATCTTTCTCTGTCCTATCTGTTATTGTCTTCGGAAAAAGAGATGTGAGGTTTCCTTCGCCTGTTCTGGTTTACATGACATGATTTGTGTATCTGCCTACAAGAGTTTCTCAAATGAACCCTGTGCATTATCTTCTTCCCCCAGCCCCTCCTGCTCTGAAGAGAGAAGAAAAAGGTCATACATCTGTAAAATGACAGCACTTATGAAAAATGAGAGCTTGGCCCACATGGCTCTCATCAGACACAGTCTCATCTGCTGTACCACAGACACTGCTCATTTCCTTCGGAATCAGACTGCAGTTAGAAACAGGAAACACCTAATAAATTGCCTGGTCTATCAAATTAACAAAGCATAAAGAAATGTTCTATGTAATCAATGAGTATTGCTTGCTTAAAAAAAAAAGGAAAGAAAGAAACAAATTTAAGTGTCAAATGTAAGGAACCTAGAAATGTGACCATATTTTTTCCTATAAAACTACTTTAAAATGTCATTCTAACCTAATTTTAGAAATAAAGAAGCCCAACCAGAGAAGGCATAGAAAATTGGACTTTCTACCTGTTTTGCTACCAAGGTAGACTTAAAGCATTTCCAAAGCAATAAAAAATTTTGTCATGTAATGCATTAAGATATTTCAGCACACAATTGAAAAAACAAAATAAATTAAATGTATAAAAATCATACAAGCATCAGAATTCCCAAAATGATAATTATGAAAATATTTTCTCATACAATATTTGTTATGAGCTGCTTATGTTCATAAGCTCTTGTCTAGAGTGAAATCAATAATAAACCATGAAACAAGAATGTACTTTCTTGAATTGTATTTCAGATTAGAAAAATACAGGTGAATTTATGTTTGGGTAGGAGAGTGGGAAATCCCTACTTCTAAAAAAAAAAAAAAAATCCTTTCTCTTGGACCAGTGCTGTGACGGAGTTGGTTAAACTGCCACCTGTCATAAAAGCAAAAATTTTGTGCCTTGGCTCAAGTTCTAGCTCTTCCATTTCTTTCTTTTTTTTTAAGATTTATTTATTTCAAAGGCAGAGTTATAGAGAATCAGAGGCATATTCAGAGAGAGAGAGAGAGAGGGATATGGGGGAGAGAGAGAGAGAGTGACAGAGAGAGAAAGGTGTTCAATCAACCAGTTCACTCCCCAAATGACTGTAACAGCGGGAGCTGGAACGTCCCAAAGCCTAGAGCCTGGAGCACCTATGGGTTCAGGGCCCCAAGAACCATGGCCATCTTTTATTGCTTTCCCAGGCCATAGCAGAGAGCTGAATCAGATTGGAAATGGAGCACCTGAGATTCGAACCAACTCCAATATGAGATGCCGGAACCACAGGTGGTAGCTTTACCCACTAGCACAGAGTGCTGGCCCGTCCTTCATTTCCAATCCAGTTTCCTGCTAATGTTCCTGGGCCTAGCCCCAGCAGGTATATCCATTTATGGGTTGAACTAGCTGATGGAAGACCTCTTTCTCTCCATCTCACCTCTCTCTCTCTCTCCCCCTATGTGTGTGTGTATGTGTGTCTAACTCTGTATTTCAAATAAATAAATCTTTTTTTTAAAATCATTTCTTTCTGAAAAAATAAGAAAAAAAATCTTGCCTTCATTTCTTTTGAAGCCTTTGGAAGTCTAATATCTCAAATGTGTATGTGCTTCAGGTTTCATCCTTATCCTCAAAACAAGCTTCTAGGAAAATGTTAGGAAAATAAAAACTTTTCAGAAAAGATGAAAAGAATAGACCTTAGATTCCCAAGTCTGAACAGACACCATAGGAAAAAAAAAAAAAAAAACCTTTGTTTCAGGACGAAATTCAACTGCTCAGTCCCTCAGAAGTAACACAATGCGTTTCTATCACCATTCAAAGACACTTTGCTTCTATAGTTGAGAATACATGCCACTGAGACACTGTTACTTGTCCTGTGTGTGAGTGACCCCTTCAGGTGCTGTATAGAAAAGACTGCTGTACACACCCAGTGGAAACAGTCTGATACAATAAATAAATGCTAAGAATTTCCAGAAAAACGTTTCAACAGAGCGATTAATAATAAATGTGAAATGATTAGGAAAATGCTTCTTCAACTAAGGCATTTCACACACCATTCATACATTCACGTATTAGCCAAGAAACAATTTTTGAATACTGCTGCCAAGAAACTGTGTTGCAGATCCATCAACCACAGTAGTCAGAAAGCGATGTCAGTTTCTATTTCAAACAACCCATGCTCTGACCGTGTACTAGAACTTATCAAATCACATATCTGGATTTTACTAGAAAATATAATTTATTACAACAATAAGGGGTATACTAATGCATCCTCCTAGCCATTTTGCAGTTTGTAATGAATTACAGGCTGCTTTTAAAAATTCCAGTAATTAAGCTAGACTTGTCAAAAAAGATGTATTGATTTCCTATTCTTTGTAGTCTTAAATGAAATGTCTGAAGCCACCAGAAGAGTCAGCTGGCACGAAAAAATGGTATTTGGATCAGGGATAATCATGACTGTGAAAAGTGAAATGGCTTTTGAGTTGAACCCAAGTAGAATTACCAGAAATCCAAAGTACATTGCTGAAGCGAAGATTGGGAACCAGGGTCTAACTAAAGCTAGGAGCCTCTGTATCACACTGTGTAAGGTGAGGCCATAATGATGTGAATTCTGAGAAGTGGGGTCATAGTGATGTGAGTCTGTAAAGTGGTAATTCATGTCCTTAGGCAAGTAGTATCTTGGACTTAGAGCAGCAGTAGCATATAGAATGAGGCAACACCCAGCTAGAGTGGCTGGGGTTTGAATATAGAATATAACCTCATGCAGTTGACAAGACAGTGAGGGTAGGGCCCAAATGAATCTTCTCTTCCTGGCAAGATTTTGTTTTGTACAGTAAATGTACTGCAAACTAGTAATCGTGGGACCCTGCGTAGATGGCTAAGGAAAAAGAAAGCTGGTGGTGCATTAAATACTCCATTCAAAGTTGAGGGCTGCCGTGTGTTTCTTGTCCCTTCAAGGTCCCTGATAGGCAGCCAGAGCTGACTTGCATTGTCTCAGCAACTGTTTATAAAATATTGGACAGAGAAAGTGAGAGTGGACACAGAACAGATTTCATTTGAGCCTTGGAGTGAGGATGAGATTTTGAAAACAGTAGAGAATTTTGTTGGAGGGAGGTATCATATATCATTCTGTATTTATGATGTACACTCTGGTTAACGGGCATTCTACCAATCATCAACTTCAATACTCTATAATTTCATGTATGAAACATGTAATCATTAGAATATAAAATAATGGTATAGAGAAAATAAGGATCTTCAAAGGCTTTCTGAAGATTTTAAAGACTTCTAGAATTAAATTCTGTATTGAAAATACAGTTTTTAAGTTAAACAATTAGAAATTACTTGAATCTCTTAAATTTATCACAAATCTATGCCATTAAATTTAATACACTGTATGGCCGTCTGTGCTGCTATCACTTTAAACAATTATTTTGCTGAATATGTAAAAGAATTCTCATTGAATGATTTAAAATGAAGCAGATTAGGTCATAAACTGGGTAGCTAAAACGGGTTTAAAAATTATCTTGATAGGCATAAAAACAAGCATAAATAACAAATATGAAACTGAACATCACCAGGTATAACACATTTCTTGAAAGTTAAAAAATAATTCAATATTTTGATGAAATACCTCAAAATTATGACTCTATTCTACATTTATTTGAAAATCAAATGCAATTTAAAAATATTTATGGAGGAGATGATGGGATCTGGCAAACAGTTACATATTTTCTGAGTGGATAAATAGTTAATAATTGACATTTTGAAAAATGATTAACAATCTTGTAAGCCACTTTCTATCAGCTTGTAAAATATAACATGGAGCTGGCATTGTGGCATAGAGTATAAAGCTGCCACCTGTGATGCCGGCATCCCATATGGATGCCAGTGGTGGTCAGCTGCTCCACTTCCCATCCAGCTCTCTGTAATGTGCCCAATTCTTGGGAAATACAAATATTTTATTAATTTTAAACATATTGGCAGTGTCTTCTTTGTGAATAGCACAGCTATGGATAATAATTGGTGTTTTTGAGGGTCTAGGGAAATAGCAACAATCTTACCTTAGTGATGTGACTATTAATTGATAGATTTTAAGTCAGGAGCCAGGAGCTTCTTCCAGGTCTCCCACCTGGATGCAAGGCCCCAAGCATTTGGGTCATCTTCTGCTGACTTTCCAGGTGCATTAGTGGGGAGCTGGAGCAGCCAGGACTTGAACAGGTGCTCATATGGGATGCTGGTGCTACAAGCAACGGCTTTCCACTATGCCACAGCACTGGTCCCAAACTGACTGATAGATTTTAAAGGGATATTTGCCCGAGAAAGCTCTAACAATTTTTACTATTACTATATTTATATTTTACTCATCAATTCCATTACAAGGAATGTTTCTTATAGAATATTTCTACAAGTATACAAAGGTTTTATCGTAGCATTAAAACAACCATATTACCTATAATACAAGATTGGTTAAGCTATTGTGCATTTAAACAATAAAACAATATAACTTTTAAAGAATGAGGTTAATAAATATGTATTAATACAGAAAATTGTACATAATGTATAGTTACGTGAAGAAGAAAATGAATCAATATGTAACATCTTGTAACTTTCTATTAATGGAAATATTTAATTGATAAAATTCAAAGAAGTACATAACATTTTATATATCAAAAGTAATACATATTCATGGTAAATAATTATAAAATAAAGAATATAAATGGAATAAATTTAAAATTACTTATAATCATTACAAATTAAGAAGTTGTATTAAAAATTCAATATAGAAATTGCATTGTCCTACTATTCTATAATAATTTTCAATTAAAACTACATCACAAACATCTTTATATCAATAATGTGTATCAGTTGAGATTACTTCATGGTGGTCCATTATGCTTGTTGCAATAATTTATTTAGACAACCTTGAATTAATGGGTATCAACTTTTTTCTAATTACCTACCATTAATATACACAACAGTGAGATGGGTTCTCATCCAGTTACACCTGTCCAGATAGTTTAAAAAAGAAAAAAGAAAAAAAAAGTTTATGTGAGAGAGAGAGAGAGAGAGAGAAAGGAGAGAATTTATCCACTGGTTCTTTCCCCAAATGGCAGCAGTGAAGTAGCTCAATCTAGGTCTCCCACTTGGTCCATCACCTCTGCCTTCCAGGTCCTATAATAGCAAGAAGATGGAGTCAGAAGACAGAGGCAGTATCAAGCTCAGGCACTTCAGTCCAGGACTTGGGCATCCTAACTGTCGTCTTAACCGTGGGTCATATCCCTGCCCCTGCTCATATATTTTTCATTGTGTTGGGGTGGATTCTTAGAAGCCAGAAAAATCTATTAGCTCACTAACCTCTTTTTTCTAATAATGAATTATTCTTTGCAATCACATGTTTCCAGTAACAGAATAATTTATTACCTAGGTTAGTAAAACTCGATAAAAAAGCAAGCAAGTGGCCGGCGCCGCGGCTCACTAGGCTAATCCTCCGCCTTGCGGCGCCAGTACACCGGGTTCTAGTCCTGGTCGGGGTGCCAGATTCTGTCCCGGTTGCCCCTCTTCCAGGCCAGCTCTCTGCTGTGGCCAGGGAGTGCAGTGGAGGGTGGCCCAAGTACTTGGGCCCTGCACCTCATGGGAGACCAGGAGAAGTACCTGGCTCCTGCCATCGGATCAGCGCAGTGCGCGGCCGCAGCGCGCTGGCCGTGGCGGCCATTGGAGGGTGAACCAACGGCAAAGGAAGACCTTTCTCTCTTTCTCTCTCTCATTGTCCACTCTGCCTGTCAAAAATAAATAAATAAATAAAAGCAAGTATTTTAATGCAGCCCTGTCGATAAAGAGACAATATTGCCAAGACACATCTGCTCAAAAATTTTACATTTGCTAGTGAAAAAGGATCTCTTAACCACCCTCTTGGTTATGCATATTTTGTGGACTATGTGGTCATATTAAATTAACTGTTAATTAACAATGTATGTTGCTCCCTTCATTGTACAGTTCAATTATTTTTAGTTAATCCATTTTATGAGCTACAATAAACTTCTAAGTAAAATAATCTCTTTCTAATAAATACCTGAAATAAGCAGTTGTATTATTATGTAAATCAAGACAGTTATTTAAACAAAAAAAAACCTGCAGAACAAGTAAGACCACCCTTATAGAATATGCTTTAAGAAAAATGAATTCTACCAATACTTGTCATGTGTTACATATCACACACTGAAAATGCTTTATTTCTGTCATTTTATTCCTTTAGTCTGAATTGGTTAATCCTTTTTTGTTGTTTATTTATATAAGAGGTACACAGAAAGGCAGGCAGAGAAAGTTCTCCCATCTGCTGGTTCACTTACCAAATTCCCACAATAGCCAGGACTGGGCTCGGACTGAGGTAGGAGCTGGAGGCACAATTCAGGTCTCCCTCATGGGTGACAGGAGCCCAATCATTTGAGTGATGACCGCGGCCTCTCAGGGTCTGCATTAGCAGGAGACTGGAATCAGGAGCAGAAGTGGGAATCAAATCCAAGTACTTTAGTACTTTTAAGATCAATGTGATAATACCAACATCAATTAAACTACGGAGGTTAAATAACTTCAGGTTACTTTAGATGTCTGAATGTGAGTTTACGTGCACAACACTGCGTCAAACATATAAACAAAAATACATAAAAACTATGTTAACAATTTAGTGCAATGTATTACTATGTTTGAACAAAACAAGCCAAGTCATGCCATACCAATGTGTTTTTCTTGTGTAAAAATCTTTTTTATTATAGGTTACAGACATATTAATCTGAAGTAGTTAATAGTTTGAATTATAAAACATCCCAAAGAAGTATGGTTGCATTTCTCAGGGTACACAGTAACAATTAAAAATTATTCTGGTAGGGATCTAACCTTAAATAACCCAAGAATCATGACTTGTCATGAGCATAGCAGTTGTTTATCTCATACATGTGTATCCTAAATATTTGAAAGCATGACCCTATAACAGCAAGCAAACTTACTAATTTTACTAAACATTAAACATCAAGTCTGTTACAAAAACAGCTGAAGTATTTTACCCACAATTATCTTCAAACGATACAGCATCCTTGTACAACAGCTGAAGAAATAAAGTGGCGTGCCCAATATTGTACAGTTCACATTAAGAAAAGCTGGATTGAATCTTGGGTACATCTGACCTCGGAGTCCAAGTTCATTAACAGCTACATGATTTTGGCTCATGAAACTATCAAACCTACAACCCATTGGATTTTGTATATCTTTAATTGCTAAACAATAAATAAATTTAAATTTTGTTCTTGTCCCAAATCAGTTGATCTATATTTTAAAAATGTTTTATAGTTCATATTTTTATAGTTCATAGATTATAGAAAAACAGGGAGAGATCTTTCACTCCCTTGGTAACTCCCCAAGTGCCTGCAATAGCCAGATCTGAGCCATGCCAAAGCCAGGGGCAGGAA